AATCTAAAGCTTTTATTAATAAAAGAGAGAAAAGGTTGAGAGTAAGATTGAGGAGGATACATTACATACATCACTTGATGCAGGCTTTTAACAGAGATGTTTCAAACTGCTAGCTTAAAAGTCTCTAGTGTACATCCTATGTCAGGACTGGTCAGCAATCCTTCCCAGCGCTCTGCCCTTAGCAAAGATGCATCTGGAATCAGTAGCGAGATTGAAGGCAAGATGGAGACGCCCTCATGGCACTTTTATATTCCTGGTGACACCCAGACTGGAGCTGATCACATGATCAAGTGACCTATCTCTGTTTCGCATGCAAGCAGCCATGAGGTACTGGCTAGTCTGCAGGCTTCCAGATGCATTCCTCAGGTCTGTATTGGCCATTCTGAGAGCCATTGTCCATGAAGCAGTGCAAGTTAACACAGCCAATCAGTCACTGAACAAACCTTCCTCACAATAGGCAGTACAGGCCCATTGCTCCTTCCCAGATAGAGAACATTTACAGTACAAGAACAGCACCCATGTTCATAACTCCACATACAGTCATCACACAAGTACACGAGTAGCATACATAGAATCAGTAGAGCATACACTTTCATATGATACCTCACATGGCCCCCTTTGTACAGAATTTGGGCAAACACCACCCGTGGGTGCAACAGTGATCTGTCTACTCAATTTAAAATCCAGTAACATGACAGGATGTCACAATTTGTCCACATCTTTCTTGAAAGTATGATGCCCGGATCTGAGCACGGTACAGGTTGGACCTCGCCTCGCCGGCACCCTCAGGACCTGACCCATCCTGAATGAGAGAATTTGCCAGATTTGTCCTCTCCACTGGCCTCCCAGGATGCTCCCCCTCCCTGCGTTGGCTCCAGCCTGCTGGAACTCCCCAGGATGGAGCTCTCCAGCCTCCGGGGCCCTACTTCTCTCCTGCCTGGCCGGGACCCCTCCTGCGATGGGGCTGTCCTGTCTTGCTGCTGCCCTGCAGGCTGGGGGTCCCTGATGATGGGGCGTGCTGGCTGCCCTGCTTTTACTGCTCATTTGGTCCTGCAGCTGCTCTGCCTGGCCAGGGCTCTCGGGAATGGAGCTCTGCGGCTTCCATGACCCCGGTTCACCCCTCCTTGGCCGGGGACGAGTTTAAAACAAATAAAAGGAAGTTGTTCTTCACACCGCGCACAGTAAACCTGTGGAACTCCTTGCCTGAGGAGGTTGTGAAGGCTAGGACTATAACAAGCTTTAAAAGAGAACTAGATAAATTCATGAAGGTTAAGTCCATTAATGGCTATTAGCCAGGATGGGTAAGGAATGGTGTCCCTACCTTCTGTTTGTCAGAGGGTGGAGATGGATGACAGGAGAAATATCACTTGATCATTATTTGTTTGGGTCACTCCCTTTGGGGTACCTGGCATTGGCCACTGTTAGCAGACAGGATACTGGGCTGGATGGACCTTTGGTCTGACCAAGGATGGCCGTTCTTATGTTGCCTGTCCTGCTGCTCCCCCACCCGACCGGCGCTCCCCTAGTGCGGGGTTAGTATTCCTGGGTGTTGGGGTTTTCTGATCCTGCAACATCCGTGGTCCTGCTGGACCAGAGAATCCCAGATTTTGGAGGTTCAACTTGTACTCCAACTGAGGCCTCAGTGCCAAGACGAACAGAACAGTTACCTCCTATGTTTGACCTGTTAGCACACCCCTGTATAGTAGCCCCTGTCTTTTTTTGCAGCCGCCTCACTTTGTTGGCTTATATTCAGTTTGATTGTCTAATGCCCATATTTTCTCCAGAACTATTTTCTATCCAGTGATTCCCAGTTTTTTGTATTTGCTCATTTGATTTTTCCTTTAAGTGCAGTACTTTTCATTTATCTTTATTAAATTTCAGCTAGTTGCTTTCGCACCAGTCTCCAGTTTGTCAAGGATGTTATGAATTCTAATCCTGTCCTCCAAAGGATTTGTATTCTTTCTAAATTGGTGTGATCCACAGATTTTATAAGCATGCTCTCCATTCCATTATCCAAGCCCTGAATGAAAATATTGAATGGTACCAGACCTGGGAGTGACTCCCGCAATCTTTTTTTACCTTCACCCCCGCCCCCCCTCCCCAAAAAAGTTTGAATTTCATAGCCTTACAGAAAGGAATACACTATCATGCCTACAGACGTGTTAGAGATACTGAAGAAAAAGCCCACATCATGATTTGTCCTAACTCCTCACTCAAGCGTCACACCTCCCAAGTTCCATATGCAAAAAAAGTGTAATCTCTTAACATGCAGACTTTTAAAAATAAACAAAAAAAGCCTAAAAAGTACTTGAGGTACTGTATAAGCAGTTCCCTAGCAACCATTTTTATGATGAAGTTAAAGGGAAAGATAAACATTAACTACCAATACTTGTATTTAAGTTTTAAATATTTTTAAACTAAAATAGTATCAGACTTCTGCATACAATTTTGACTGACTTGCTGCTGGTCAGCTATTTTATGGATGAGTGATAGAAATGTAGCCGTGTTAGTCTGGGGTAGTTGAAGCAAAATGCAGGACAATGTAGCACTTTAAAGACTAACAAGATGGTTTATTAGATGATGAGCTTTTGTGGGCCAGACCCACTTCCTCAGATCAAAATCAAGAAGGCTCAAGTGTGGTTTACTGTAGCCAATACACATTCTGGGAGTGATTCAGGTAGATTGGGGCTCTTTGATGACTCTTAAGACACTATCAGGACTGTATGTAGAAGTAAGGCTTGCAGAGGCGGTGTTTCTTGCTATACTGATAACAATGAGTAGACAAAGGCTAAGGTAGCTAGTTCACCCATTAGCCGCTGGTGTGGAATTGAAAGGAAGTTTGGTTGGGCGCATTGGTTCTCTTGGAAGGGCAGAGACTGTTTAGAGAGGCAATATAAGGTACTCAACGGAGTGGATAATGGTAGCTGCAGTACTGCTTTCCTACCTAGGGCCTCTGAGCACATATTGTATCTGTTTTAAAAGCAGGCATAACTGCTAGTGCACATCTGTTGTGGGACTAGATATAGTCTTAAATTTCTATGATAGACTTAAAACTGAGCTTAATTTCTTACTATTACAAAAATTTAAGTAAATGGGTGGGGGGAAGCTTTGGAAATAAATGTTGGCCCATAAATATAACTGGAATTTCTCAAAGGCCCTTCATAGGCGCTATCAATTACTCTCCAGATGATCTTATGTTCATAGTTGTGTGTCAACATTTTCGAATAGATAGCCACCGCACTGTTAGTATATATCTTCCATTCCTCTGCCTAACTAGAAACCAATACCAGATCTATTCAGTGTGTTCAGTTTCCAATTGATTAACATGAAACAGAGGAATTAAATTTATCCCTACAAGGGAAGAAATCCCATTTAATTGGTTAAATGCAATGTTTAACCAGTTAACCGACTGAAGGGGGAAGCAGCTAGGGGGACGGCTCCAGCCCAGCTGGGGCTGGAGTGGCCCCCCTACTGCAGGCAGGGGCTACTCCAGAGCACCTGGGCCCATTGCAGATGGGGGCTGCTCTGGACTGTCCAGGCAGCCCCCTGCTTGCAGCAGGCAGGGAGCACTCCAGCCCCCCACCAGTTAACCAGAACTGGTAAGTATCACCTGTTAAGGTTGATGAATACTGGTTTAACCAGTTAACCTTTCACATCCCTGTTTCCTTCCATAGTGAACAGAAACTGTTGGTTATGATCAAATGAACTGATTCATTATGACAGTTTGTAATGCAGCAGGTGTGATGAGTAATTGGATGCATTTTCTCAGATCTGTCATTGCAATTCAACAGGCCTGCTACCCATCCCCAAGGCTGACTTATTTCTTTTCCCCCAAACTGAGTTGGAACATTTAAGTCAAATGCATGTTGAACATCTGTTTAATATGAGCCCAAGAAGAGATGTAAGTAGAAGGAATGAAGTAGTACTGCTTTTTTTTCTTTGCTGTACTTGGAGTGTTTTCTATATATAATATTATGCAGGAGTTTGACTTGCTTAATGTCCAATGGTATGGACTTCTGCGGTCTCCAGTCTTGTTAGCTTATTTTACTTCCATTGCAGTACTTGCGTGATATTGAGAGTAGTGGTAGCTTGGCTGATTTTAAAAGGTAACTTGGTGATTTTATTTTTCCTTGACAAATTGCTACAAAGCTCTCCTGTTCAGACTATGGACCGTGAGTGTCTAAATGTTCAGCATAACTATATTAATCCACGTTTCTTACAGTTTTCAAACCATAATTTCTTATATCGATGAGCAATTTGAGCGGTATCTGCATGACGAGAGTGGCTTGAACAGGCGGCATATTGTAGATAACCGGGTGCACTGTTGCTTCTACTTCATTTCACCGTTCGGTCATGGGTAGGTATCACTAAACTATTTTGGGGGACATCTTTTACTTGTAAGAGTGTGAATTAGTTAAGTTTTGAGAAACAAGCCAGGTAGGTCATACGTAAAGTGTAACATAGCACTGTTAGAGATGATGAATTTACCCTTTTGGAGACGAATGGGGGATGTTTTGGATAACAATGAACCTAGAATTGTTGAAAGTGGAAACTTTAAGAATTGTGTTTGGGGGAGGATCTTATCTTTGTGCAGTTGTGTACAGTAATTCCTCATTTAACATGTGCCCACTTAACATGTTTTCACGATAGCACGATACGTTTTTAAGGAACGTTTTTTGAATTACACGACCGTCCACAGAATAACACGATTTCACCAGCCAGCCCGTTGCTGACAGCTGCATGGGGCTTCCTCCACCTCCCTGCAAAGCAGTGGAAGGTTCTCCACTCACCACGCTGTTCCCTGCTAACTCTCCCTCGCCGGACGTCCGCCCCCGCTTGCAGGCCGGTGGCTGGGTTTCCCTAGCCGGCCCATCGCCGGCAGCTGCGCGGGGGTTCCCCCTGGCAGATGGGGGCTGCTCTGGACTGTCCAGGCAGCCCCCTGCTTGCAGCAGGCAGGGAGCACTCCAGCCCCCCACCAGTTAACCAGAACTGGTAAGTATCACCTGTTAAGGTTGATGAATACTGGTTTAACCAGTTAACCTTTCACATCCCTGTTTCCTTCCATAGTGAACAGAAACTGTTGGTTATGATCAAATGAACTGATTCATTATGACAGTTTGTAATGCAGCAGGTGTGATGAGTAATTGGATGCATTTTCTCAGATCTGTCATTGCAATTCAACAGGCCTGCTACCCATCCCCAAGGCTGACTTATTTCTTTTCCCCCAAACTGAGTTGGAACATTTAAGTCAAATGCATGTTGAACATCTGTTTAATATGAGCCCAAGAAGAGATGTAAGTAGAAGGAATGAAGTAGTACTGCTTTTTTTTCTTTGCTGTACTTGGAGTGTTTTCTATATATAATATTATGCAGGAGTTTGACTTGCTTAATGTCCAATGGTATGGACTTCTGCGGTCTCCAGTCTTGTTAGCTTATTTTACTTCCATTGCAGTACTTGCGTGATATTGAGAGTAGTGGTAGCTTGGCTGATTTTAAAAGGTAACTTGGTGATTTTATTTTTCCTTGACAAATTGCTACAAAGCTCTCCTGTTCAGACTATGGACCGTGAGTGTCTAAATGTTCAGCATAACTATATTAATCCACGTTTCTTACAGTTTTCAAACCATAATTTCTTATATCGATGAGCAATTTGAGCGGTATCTGCATGACGAGAGTGGCTTGAACAGGCGGCATATTGTAGATAACCGGGTGCACTGTTGCTTCTACTTCATTTCACCGTTCGGTCATGGGTAGGTATCACTAAACTATTTTGGGGGACATCTTTTACTTGTAAGAGTGTGAATTAGTTAAGTTTTGAGAAACAAGCCAGGTAGGTCATACGTAAAGTGTAACATAGCACTGTTAGAGATGATGAATTTACCCTTTTGGAGACGAATGGGGGATGTTTTGGATAACAATGAACCTAGAATTGTTGAAAGTGGAAACTTTAAGAATTGTGTTTGGGGGAGGATCTTATCTTTGTGCAGTTGTGTACAGTAATTCCTCATTTAACATGTGCCCACTTAACATGTTTTCACGATAGCACGATACGTTTTTAAGGAACGTTTTTTGAATTACACGACCGTCCACAGAATAACACGATTTCACCAGCCAGCCCGTTGCTGACAGCTGCATGGGGCTTCCTCCACCTCCCTGCAAAGCAGTGGAAGGTTCTCCACTCACCACGCTGTTCCCTGCTAACTCTCCCTCGCCGGACGTCCGCCCCCGCTTGCAGGCCGGTGGCTGGGTTTCCCTAGCCGGCCCATCGCCGGCAGCTGCGCGGGGTTTCCCCCACCTCCCTGCAAAGCAGCGGAGGGTTTGCTGCTCGCTGCACTGTTCCCCGGCAACCCCCCCTCGCCAGACGCAGTGCAGGTCCCGGCAGACCTGTCACAGGGGCATACTCCCAACCCAATCTTCCTCCCCTCTCCTTCCCTTCCCGTTCTCAGATCCAAACACCACCCCTCCCTGCTGTAACCCAGTCCCCTTTCTCCCCCAACCTTATGTCCTGGTCCCAACAGACACCACCGCTTGAAACGCAACCCCCACCTTCTCCATTATTTTCAATGGGAAAATTGACCCCTCATAACACGTTTTCACTTAACACGATCATTTTCTGAAACATCTCTCTAGTGTTAAATGAGGAATTACTGTGTATGTTCATCTTAGTGTAAAACAAATTGGATATTTAAATACTCCTTTAAAATTCAACTTTTTATTTTTAAAAAAAAAATTTTTTAAAGTCTTAAGCCCTTGGATGTTGAGTTTATGAAGGCCATACACAACAAAGTGAATATTGTACCTGTCATTGCAAAAGCTGATACACTCACTCTGAAGGAACGGGAAAGGTTGAAGAAAAGGGTAAGTTCTAATTTTGTTTGCATTTAAGTGTATTAATGTTGGGTACTAGTAACACTAGTTTAGGCAAGCAGGGAGACTTAATCCAAATACAGCCAACAATAGTGGTAGTCTCCCACATGACACCACACAGGCATGGTGTACCATGGTGTTTTCTGGCAAATTTTACACCCACGGCCCTGTGGGATCTTGAGGGTTCTGATCCTTGTTTTGACTGAAATAGTCTTAAAACATTTTCAGCAATGGTCAGTAGGGATGTAAAATTTCGATTAATTGGCTAATCGAATAATCAGTGCAGTTTGCATTGATTATTCGATTTGTCAGTAAGGGCGCTTCTGCCTTTGAAGTGTAGCAACAGCATCAGAGAGTTTCAAAGTGGCAGTACTGCATGGAGCCCCAGGTCATCAGGGGAGTCCTTCGCTGACACCAGGCTCCACGCTTGCTGCATGCAACATTTCAAAGCAGCAGATGCTGGGCTCCACACAACGCTGCCGCTTTGAAGCACTCCTTTCCCCTCCTCCCCCCTTGCTGCCAGTGGGGAAGCAACTAATCAACTAGCATGTTGACAAGCAAATACTTATCAGATAATCGGATAATCGACTAGTCGTTCACATCCCTAATGGTTAGACTGTGCACACTAGTGTTAAATTATAAATCAGTTTTAGAAATTTGGGGCTGGCTAACTAAAGCAATGGGTTAGCACTAGCAAAAAAAAATGCAGACTCCTCTTATTATCACTTTAAACACTGAAAATACATCATCAGTTTCTTTATGTATTGACCCTGTGAATCCCACTGCTTGGTACTAGCTTATTCCAACCCTTCTTAAACACTGAGTCAGTTACTAAGAGCCTTTGAAAGACTTTTAAGTTTTACTCTTCAATTTTTAAATCAAGCAAGAGCTCATTATACTAGTTGTGAGTTTTACAAAAGGGGCCCTGGTGACCTGACCCCCTCCCCCACTCTTTTAAATTTAAATTTTCCCACTCTGTCTGTAAATCCTTTCAGCCTTCTTCCTACTGTTTGGTCAGTTCATGCAGTTCATGAAATTTGCCTTTGAAATACAAGTACTGCATTTGGCAACAGTCAGCTCTTAATTGAGGGAGGGACAGAAATAAAAGATTTGTGTGAGCCCGAATTCATCATTGGAGTCTGCTTTTAAACTAGTGGCCCCACAGCTTTCCCCTAGGTTTTATATATTTTACTTTGTGCTGAAAATGTGCTGAAAATGTAACTGGGATCAATAAGCAGTTCCAAGTTGAGTTGTTTGAAGTACATCTGCCTCCCCCACGCCCAAAATTCAGAGTACTTTTTTTCTCTTTTAAAATTTAGACTTCTAAAAAAGTATTTAACAATAAACTTGGTAGAACTTAATCCCTGGGTGCTACTATTTTCCTTATAAACAGTCTTCATCATGTTTAGACTAGTGTGGACTGTGGTGGGAAAGCATTTTCGTTGTATGCTGTTTATAATACATTGAAATGTATGTTGTGTACGCGGTTTTGTTTTGAATTTCATCTGTTTTATTGCCAGGTTGAATTCAGGAGTTAGGTCCATTTCCTTACTGCTTCATATGTGCCAGTCTTTTTCTTCCATTTCCCAATCTCTCTTCCCCCCCTCCCACCCCCCCAGGAATGGAAGCGGTTTCCTCATTTAGCTCTTCTATTTTTTCAGTTCATCTTCTTAGCTAAAGTAAAAAGGAAAGCAAATAGTGTGGGAAATCTTTTCTTCTCGCCAGCTGAGGCGAGAAGTTGATAATAAGTGCGCTCACTCTGTTGGAAGAAGTAGGGGTGATTGCCTGTTTACTATTGGTGGCTTCCAAAACGTGATCCAGGAGCCACCAGTAAGTAGCCCATCCAAAGCTAGTTCTCACATCATGTCAACTCTTTTTGCTTTACCAGTACTACATCTTACAGAAAGCTAGCCATATAATATATGGCAAGGCAATGTTAAGTAAGTAGTTGCTTTTGTTGCCACAGAGATTGTCACCAATAGGAATCGGAGTGTTAATGAGGCACTTATTCATTGGATGACCATGCTTTGATAGAGTTATTTGAGAACCCTGAACCTGTTTTTACCTTGTAATTCTTGACACCATCTGCCCAGAAATAAATATATATAAAACACATATATGTTTACTCACTCAGAATTGCTGTTCCATTTAGTGACTTTCCCAATGGAAAATTCTCTCCAACACAATAGTGAAGATGGCAGTCTCCATACCAAAAAACGAACTTCAAGTAGGGTTTTGATTTGATGTTTATATAATATTTAGGTACCTTTTGCTGTGTAGCTGTGGAAAGCAAACCATTTTCTTCTAAAACAGAATTAAATGCTGAATTATCTTTTGAGCAAGGAATTAATTAGGAAGGGGATATTGCACTTACATTAGTTTTAAACACATTTTATGAACACACTCTATAGAGAATACTGTTGATAAATGTAATGTTATCAGTTGCTACCAGTGTGATGGTCTGTAAGATGCTGATGTTCTGCTGTATGTGTGTGTTGCCTCTGTGTGCCTCCTCGGCTATGCACAGATAGCTGGCGAGCAAAATCGCCCGATAACCACAGAGTGAGGTAAGGGATGAAGGCACCTGGCCAGGTTTATTGCCAAACAAAGCACAGGAGTTGTTGCCAGCAAACTGTCAGACCAACAGGCAAATGTGACCCTGACAATGGACCAGTTCAGTCAGAGATGGGACTTCCCGCTGCCTGCTAGGCCAGACAAAGACAGCCCCTCTCAGATGCATCTTTCTACACAGATGCAAACAAGCTATGTATGGCTCCTGACATATCTAAGTGCCACCCTCTAACGTATCAGGATGCCGTCCATTACCTTGCGTGCGGTTAGAGCAAAACCTCCTTGTCCAGCATGTATTGTTCTGACCTTAGCCTGAGGATGGGTCAGTATGCCCTTATTATCTAGGGTGAGTGTGGTGGTGTCAGTGTCATGGTACTACATGGAATGTGTTTGTATAACTTGTGCCTAATACCTCTTAGGCATGTGTTTCTGAAACATCAGCCCTGTTCTTGCCAGATTCTGTGAGTAGGGCCTGCCTCTTGTTTACAGCTCAACTTCTCTTTTTCTTAGCAAAGTCTTGACTACTTTTGCCTAAGCAACAGGCATCACACTAGACCTGTGATACATGGGCTTATGTTTCAGGGCCTCTTCTCACTAAAATTACTATTGTTATATTAGTTGATTATCTCAAAAAGGCATTGTTGTGAAACAGACCAGTCAGCTAATTACAAAGCCACATGCTTCCCTATACATAATTACTATGTTAATTGGTGCCATCGTCTTTGAGGTAAATTTGATGTGTATCTCTCTACAGCATAAGCCTGCATTTCCCCAAGGAAGAGATGGGAATTTTACAAATGCTAACATGGTAGAGCTGGAAGGAACAGCATTGTCATTTGCCTCAAAATTGAGGGCAAGATTTTTATATTTAGTAACATTTATGGGTGTTTAGAATAAGGATGTTAAATATCGACTAATTGAATAGTTGATGCATTTTGCATCGACTATTCAATTAGTCGATAGGGGGATTCCGCCTTTGAAGTGTAGCAATAGCCCTAGGGCGAAAGTGTTGCCTGGAGCCCAGGATCAACTGGGGAGTCCAGTTGATACTGGGCTCCATGTTGTGCTGTCGCTTTGCAACGCTGCATGCTGCCTGACACCGGGCTCCTTGCAGTATTTCAAAGTGGCAGTGCTGCACAGAGCCCAGGGTTAGTGGGGAAGACCCCAGCTGATCCAGGGCTCCACATGGCGCTGCTGCTTTGAAATGCCCTGGGAAGCTTGGGGACACCCCAGCTGGCCCTGGGCTGTATGCGTCATTTCAAAGCAGCAGTGCCACGTGGAGCCCAGGGTCTGGCCCCAGGCTTCAAGCAGCACTGCCACTTTGAACTACCCTCTCCCCCACCCCACTCCTCACTGCGTCTTTCTGATAGAGGCAGCAAGGGGGAGGAAGCAAATAGTTGACTGGCATGTTGACTATCTGGTAAGCATTTGCTTATCAGATAGTCGACTAGTCCTTCACATTCCTAGTCTAGAACAGGTCAGGATAACTTTAAAAAAAGGTGGTTTACAA